ACCTTCCCTTCTTGCATCAAAACGCATTCGAGACCATTGTGAGAGGCGTCACTGTATACTACATATTCTTTCCCTTCAGTTGGTAGAGTAAGTATAGGCGCTTGAGTCAACAAGGATTTGAGAGTTTCAAAGCTCTCTTGACATTTGTCATCCCAAATAAACTTTACTTCCTTTTGCAAGAGTTTAGTCAAAGGAGAGGCGATAATGGAAAAGCCTTTCACAAATCTTCTGTAGTATCCTGCTAAGCCTAAGAAACTTCTTACCTCGGTTGGACTTTTGGGAGGTCTCCATTTGACAACTGCTTGTATCTTACTAGGATCCACCTTCACGCCTTCGGCTGATACAACATGTCCTAGAAATGTCACTTCATCAAGCCAAAATTCACACTTGGAAATTTTAGCATAAAGTTCCTTCTCCTTCAAAATTTGCAAAATAATCCGGAGGTGTTTATCATGGTATTCATTACTTTTGGAAAATATTAAAATATCATCTATAAAAACAATCACAAACTGATCAAGATAAGGTTTGAATACTCGATTCATTAGATCCATGAATACCGTAGGAGCATTTGTCAATCCGAATGGCATCACCAAAAATTCATAATGACCATACCGAGATCTAAAAGCAGTTTTAGGAATGTCTTCCTCTCTGACACGCAGTTGGTGATATCCAGACCTTAAATCAATCTTTGAGAATACTTTAGCACCCTTCAGTTGATTCAAAACAATCATACGATCCTTGATAGTGGATATCTATTCTTGATTTGTTATTCTGTTCAATTGTCTATAGTCAATACAAAGCCTAAGAGTGCCACATTTCTTCTTTACGAACAAAACAGGAGCTCCCCAAGGAGAAACACTAGGTCGAATAAAACCTTTCTCAAGAAGTTCTTGTAATTGAGCTTTCAATTCTCTTAATTCTGCCGGAGCCATCCTATAAAGAGTGATAGAAATAGGGGTAAATCTAGGAATAAGCTCGATTGGAAATTCAACCTCTCTTTTCAGGGGCAATCCAGGGAGGTTTTCTGGGAAGACTTCTGGAAAATCACATACAACAGGTATGTCCTTGATATAAGGACTCTCCAACCGTGTATCAACTATGTGAGTAAGGTATGCTTCACAACCTTGACGCATCAATTTTCTTGCCAAGGCCGCTGAAATAATACTAGCTGTCAACGATCTTTCACCTTGTACAATGATGTGTGAAAATATCGGATCTTTAAAAGTCACATGTTTTGATCTACAATCTACCACTGCATGATATTTATAAAGCCAATCCATCCCGATAATAACATCAAAATCCTTGAAGGGCATTTCAATCAAATCAGCAGGGAAGACCAGGCTTTGAATCACGAAGGGACAATCACGATAAATTCGATTACACACAACCTGATAACCCAGAGGACTTTCAACCAGCACATCATAATTAAGTTTCATAGATTTCACATTTTCAGGAAGAACAAGTGATGAACAAATATAGGAATGTGTAGAACCAGGATCAAACACTGTAAACACACATAAGCCAAATAAGTGAAATTTACCGACAACCACGTCTTGTCCATCCTGCTCATCCCTCTGCCTCATAGCATAAGCGCGTGCAGTAGTCCTTCGTCCACTAGCTTGATTAGCTCCACTTGTACCTGCGGCTTGGGTGTTTTTAGGTCTTGCACCTCTATTAGCTTGAGGAGGATTAATAGAAGTCTTATGAACCGATCCTTCAGTTCTCAAGGAAAGAGCATTATTAGGATTAGGACAATCCTTCACTTTATGATCAAAGCTCCCACAATTGAAACATGCACCAGAAGCTCTCCTGCAAGTACCATAATGATTCTTTCCACATTGCGGACAAGTGGGAACACGAGGCTTGCCTTGGCCATAAGTTGGAGTGCTAGCTGTAGAAAAATCTGATCTGTTTTGCTTTTGCTGCGGTGGCATGTTATCATTGTCAGCCTTAGAATTATCAAATCTTCCCCTTTTTTATGGACCCCCAAAATCTGGTCTAGGCTTCCGAAATTTGTTTTCATTTCTACTAGCTTATTCTTTATCAAGTCGCTCCCAAGTAAAAGCAGCAGACACTAACTTACAAAAGTTACTCATGTTGCAGGATCGCCACATTCTTTCTAATGGAATCATTTAAGTCGTCTTCAAATTTCCTGCACTTGTCTTTTTCCTCTTTAATAATACCACCAGCATAGC